ATGAAAGAGGGTTTATTGGTGAGGAATTTCAGTCTCCGTCGAACTGCCGTTTTTTCATCCCTTAATCTCAATTAGGAGGGGAGAGGTGAATTTTTAATTACCGGGAGTCACTGTGCGCCGCGAAACTATTATTTTTCTCACTGGCCCATGACTTTCATGGCAGTTTTTATTTTTTTGTTACAGAGATTAAGGGATGAAAGAGGGTTTATTGATGGGGAATTTAATTCTCCGTCGAACTGCCGTTTTTTCATCCCTTAATCTCAATTAGGAGGGGAGAGGTGAATTTTTAATTACCGGGAGTCACTGTGCGCCGCGAGACAATTATTTTTCTTACTGCGTTGTGATTTTCATGACAGTTTCTTCCATTTATTACAGAGATTAAGGGATGAAAGAGGGTTAATTGATAGGTAATTTAGTTCTCCGTCAAACAGCCTTTTTTTCAAGCGAGAGAGAGAGAGAGAGTGATTGGGAGAGAGAGCGAACGGCTGACGAAAAACCTCAAATGATTCTTTTTCTCGCATCCAGTCCGTGACGATCCACAGGCCCGTGCGCGCATGCGCAAATAGTCTGAACAATACTGTAGGGAGTGGGGGTGAGACGGAGACTTCTCTCTCGCACAAAAGGTTCTCATTCACGGCGCCGGATTTAGGGATTGGAGCTAGAAAATTGCGTTCAACTTTGAATCCATAGGAGATTCGCGGGTACGATCAAGACAAAATTTGTGGTAAATTTTCTAGTAAAAAATATGGAAAAAAAAAAGAAATTCATTGATTCAATGTCAAGATATAAATAGCAACATATATTAGATTCGCTCTGAATAAATAAACAAGCTATTGAAAAAAAAAACACTGATATTCCGAATTACAAAAAAAAAAAAATTCATCAACTTCAATTTTTTTAATGGAAAACATTTTTTTTTCCCATCTGATCTTCACGCGGCTCTGGGGGATGAACGGTTGCGAATAGGGGTAAAGTGCCCTCAACATTTTTTGTGTAGAATTTTGATCCCTACAACTTTGTGTAGTACGTTTTTGGACGCACAGCGCGTTATTCACGAGTTATTTCGAAAAAACTGTTTTCAGGGGTAGTTTTTTGGCTTTTTCAACCCCCGCACAAACTTGGGGAACCTTAAATATCCGCCATTAGTTTCATACGCCCAAATCACAAATTCCATAAAAAATGGAGCCTGTATCGCAAACATTCGTATGTTAGACCGACGTTCATTGGACTAGTCGGAGATCCGTTCGGGGTTTCTCCGCGCTTTTGAAAATTCATTCCTCCGCTCCTACTTGAGATTAAGGAATGAAACCGCCGTCATTTATTGAGAATTTAATTCTCTATCGATCGGCATCGGTTTCATTCCTTCATCTTCATTAGGGGGGGAGAAATGAATTTTCTAATCGGGAAAGCCCCTCCGGGCTCACTCGACGTCGGAAAGCCGTTCGGGGTTTCTCCGCGCTTTTGAAAATTTATTCCTCCGTTCCTATCTGAGATTAAGAAATGACACCGATGTCATTTAATAAAAATATAATTCTCAATCGGTAAGCTTTGGTTTCATTCCTTCATCTCAATTAGGGAGGCGAGAAATTGATTGTTGAATGAGAAGAACTTGTCCGGAGTTACTGCACCGTTCTGAATCGGTACTGAACCGTTCGGGGTTACTCGGCGCTTTGAAAGGAATGAAACCGCTGTCATTTATTAAAAATACAATGGTCGATCGGTAGGCTTTGGTTTCATTTCTACATCTCAATTAGGGAGGGGAGAAATTAATTTTTGAATGAGAAGAACTTGTCCGGAGTTAC